CACCTTGGCCTCCCAAGGTGCTGCAATAACAGGCATGAGCCAACGCACCTGGCCAAATTTGTGATTTGTTATACCAATATTTTGTATGTCTGAATGACTAGGCATCAAATAAAAAAAAAAATTTATATATAAGCTAGTTAACCAAAAATCACCCCCGGTACTCATGGACATTTTTTCATGAATGTGTTCATTTCTGTTGGTATACATTTCCTCATTTCAGTAATTAATGTATTTTGAACCTGAAACTTATCCTCATGGAAGAAAGTGTTCAGTCACATCTCTCAGCTTCACTAGTGCAGGTAGAGCCCGGGGTCTGTGAGCTTTGGCCTGTTTGAATAAAGCCTGATCTTTAGGGACTCTCCTCAGGAGAAGTGACACAGAGCTGCTGAAGCCCCTGATCACAGGGGCCCAATAGGTTTTGTTCACACACCCTGGTTCAGAAAGACTTACAAAGAGGAAATCATGACTGTGTCAATTGTAGCATTTTAATATTTATTTTAAAAAATGATCTTTATGAAAAAGAATGTGTGATTAATAGAATAATTTGGGTAAATTGAATCCCATTTTTATCAATAAAATAGGCTTTAATTATGTAATAATCCTTTAAAACAGATGCTAAATATAATACCATCATAAGTGGATCCTACTGTACTGGCATGGTCTTGAATATGTTAAGAAAATACTGTTTGTTTAGAAAGAGTTTTTAAAACATTTGAGAGGGAAGAAGGCACTCTTCCATTGACCATTAGTGTGCATTTTAGATTTGCATTTGGCTTGAAACTCTTTGTATTTCTGCATGATGCCTCTAGTACAAGGCCAAGGCCTCCATGTCTCGTGTCTTTTCTGCTCCCCTCCTCTGCCATCCCTCTTCCTCTCAGCAGAATAGCCCAGCATCAACTCAGGCCATGCTTGTTAATCAACCACCTGCATACACCACATCCATAAGCTCCCTGAGTGACTCACAGTCATGAACACCCAGGGCACTGATCTTTCTCTGTGTCCTTCTAGCTTCTCCTGAGGACAACTCACCACGAAGTGAAGATGGTGATTGTGATGATGATGATGATGAGGATGATGATGATACCCAGGTAAGATCACCTTTCTTTGTCTTTTAAGGAAATGTTGGTTTTCTGATGTAATAAACTCACCAGTCCAAACCCAAAAAGAATAGACTCGGGAGCTGAAAAACAGCAAAAGTGAAATTTTCTTTCTTTTCTTTTCTTTTCTTTTTTCTTTCTTTCTTTCTTTCTTTCTCTCTTTCTCTCTCTCATCTCTCTCTCTCTCTTTTTTTCTTTTTTTAAGGTGAATCTTGCTCAGTTAGCCAGGCTGGAAGTGCAGTGGTGCAATGGCTGGTGAAGCTTCTTGGCCTCAGTAATTCTTCTGCCTCCAACCTTCCTGAGTAGCTGGGATTACAGACATGTGATACCCATGCCAGTTAATTTTTTGCATTCTTAGTAGAGACGGTGTTTCACCATGTGGCAGAGCTGGTCTGAAACTCTAGCCTTAGGTAATCAGCCCCTTAGCCTCGAAGTGCTGGAATTACGGTGTAGGCAACCATGGCTGGCCCAGAAAGTGAGACCTTTAGTGACAGTGTTGCCGGAGTCTGGTGTCTGATGTTGAACCACCCAACAGTTTCACTAAGCAATTTTATCCCCTAATACAGATCCCTCCTGGTTCCTCATAGACCCAGGTACTATGGGTCACGTCTTCCGGGTGTTGCCTAGTTGATTGTTGTGGGAGAAACTTAGACATTTCTAAGATTGTCTTACCATTTTGCAACCACAATGCATTACCATCCTAATTGTCAGAAGTTCTTCAGAAATGTACGACACGTGCGGCCTAAGTAGCTGGGCAGGCTGAGTAAGAACAGACAAAGTGAGCAATTTGTAGGCTAGTGAACTTTTATCTTAGACTAATCTTCTTTGGTTGGGCGAGGGCAACTAAGTAGGGAGAGGTGGGCCTGAACAGGCATTTGCCTCTCCCAGTGACAGAGCCTAGTATGTCCTATTTCTTCTGTACTTTGCTGGGTAACAGGACAAGGTATTTGTCTTGAAATGGACCACTGTGTGCAGAGCCACTGACCAGCTCCGCTATAATCCCAGCACTTTGGGAGGCCGGGCGGGCAGATCACGAGGTCAGGAGATCGAGACCATCCGGCTAACATGGTGAAACCCCGTCTCTACTAAAAAATACAAAAATTAGCTGGCGAGGTGGCGGGAGCACCATGGTCCCAGCCACACCGACAGGCTGAGGCAGGAGAATGGCAAGAACCCGGGAGGCGGAGCTTGCAGTGAGCCGAGATCGCGCCACTGCACTGCAGCCTGGGTGACAGAGCAAGACTCCGTCTCAAAAAAAAAAAAAAAAAAAGGACCACTGTATACATTATTTCCTTCAGTTTCCTTCAATTAATTTTGGTTTAATATCCCTACTCCTTAGCTGGAGAGAGTGCAGAAAGGAGTGAACCCAGATTCTGACCTCCTGAATGGAGGAGGCAAAAGTGAACCCAGAAATGGGTCCCAATGTTGATGGTCTGTATGACTCACCTGTGTCATCACTCAGGCTTGGTGACAGGACCCCACACCAGGGAGTTCCAGCACCTGTGTGTGCCCCTGGAACTGTGTGGCCTATAAGCTGCCAAACTTTGCCCATCATCAAATGGGGCTCCAGTGGTCACATAACCCTGGGTAGCAAAAGGTACAGGGAACAACAGACGTTTGTTCACAAACGTTCACCACAGCATGGACATTACTGTGAAATACACATAGAAAGCCCACAGGCTTCTGGTCAGCTCACAGATGCTGAGAAGTGTAAGGGATCATGTAGAACAGTGCAGGTCAACATCTGTTAGTGCCGGGCTCATTCCTCAGCACTTGGTCAAAGCAGGGAAGGATCAGGAAGATATTGCATTGTATTTAATAACAGGACTACCTCAGGCCTTAGAAATGCTCCAATCCATGGCTGGGCATGGTGGCTCATGCCTGTAATCCCAGCACTTTGGGAGGCTGAGGCAGTGGATCGCCTGAGGTCATGAGTTTAAATGAGCCGATATCGACCCACTGTACTCCAGCCTGGGTGACTGAGCGAGACTCCATCTCAAAAAAAAAAAAAAAAAAAAAAAAAAAAAGAAAAGAAAAAAGGAAAAAAGAAAGGGAAGAGCAGAGGAGAAATATCACAGGATTAGTACTCATATCTCTGAGACCCCTTCTGAGTAGGAGTGAGCGGGACCTGGCCTCCTGTCTGCCGAAAGCATGGTGTGGACTTCATCCTAAATGCCTGAAGAATGGAGTTTCATTGCTTTCTCTTGTCTTCTCCATCTCTTGGTGCGATGATGACAGTGACACCAGCAGAAATTGGTGAGGAGGCAGAACAAGAATCAGGTCCCCACTTTTATGACATGGAGCAGACAGGACACAAGTCAGCAGGGATGGACTTCAGGGTCAGGATAGACACAGACAGGCCCCAGGCCTCATCTTCCTGGGGCTGGGACAGATGAGTTTTTCTTTTTCCCCTCTTCTGGAAGCCACTTGAGGAATGGTCCTTGAGGAGACACTGTTGACCAAGGGTTGTCTGGCCCAGAAATGTGTGTGTTTTGTTTTGTTTGTTTTGAGATGGAGTCTGTCACCCTGGCTGGAGTGCAGTGGCACGATCTCAGCTCTTTGCAACTTCCACCTCCCAGGTTCAGGTGATTCTCCCGCCTCAGCCTGCTGAGTAGCTGGAATTAGAGGCATGCACCACCACACCCAGCTAGTTTTTATATTTGTAGTATAGTCGAGGTTTCTCCATGTTGGCCAGGATGGTCTCGAATTCCTGACATCAGATGACCCACACACCTCAGCCTCCCAGAGTGGTGGGATTACACGCGTGAGCCACCATGCCTGGCTGACATGTGTTTCAACTGGACAGAGCCCCTAGCACTGGGTCTGTAGCTGCAGCACTCCTGAGTAGCAGGGGAGGTGAGGAGGGACACGAGTTCCAGTGCACCAGGAGCTCAGCAAAGGGATGAGGACTGATTCCAGAGTCCAGCTTATCCTTGCAACTCTTCTGTGGAATCCAGAACACATCAGTTTCCACTTATTTTATAGAAGGTTTGGAATCTTCAGTGTCAAACTCTATCTGCATTGTATCTTCCCACAGGGTGGATAGAGGAACCCTGGCTATAGGTGTTTCCTGCCAGGGCAGTGACTGTGTCTTCCTCATTAGTCCTTACCCCAGAGTTCAGTCCTGGGGAGAACATGTTAGGCCCCATGGGCACTGTAGTGAACCCATCCCTGGGATGAGTTCTAGGTCAGCCCTGGGCTGGGATCTAGCGCACGTGTGGAAATGTTCCCTTCTCAGTCTGTCCAGCCTGTTGAGCCCTACACCAACCCTGGAGCCTGCCCCAGCTTCTGAGTCAGGGTCCCTGGAGATGAGGTTGAGCTCCTGAGGACAGTGAGGTGCCCCTGCCCCTCGGCTCCTGCTTCTCTGATCCTGTCTAGACAGGGTGTGCAGGGCCACGCTCTTCCCGTGTCCATGCGCACCACCTGCTGGAATCCTTCTGGACCTGGATGTTGTCCTCATTGTTGTCATATCCCCAGGCCTACACAGTGACTGGCCCTTGTGTAGATGCCCAGAAAGTAACCATAAATGTATGGTAGGAGCAGAGCTGCAAACTGTTTCGCTAGAAAACACTAGGGGAGGGGAGTCATGTCTTCCTCATGTCTGGATCTCCTGTGCCGTCTAATGTTCTCAGACATACATGTGCCTCCTCATAAATACATTTAAATATTTACAATTAAAAGTTCAGGGCCAGGCGTGGTGGCTCACACCTGTAATTTCAGCACTTTGGGAGGCCAGGGAGGGTGGATCACCTGAGGTTAGGAGTTCGAGACCAGCCTGGCCAACATGGTGAAACCCCGTTTCTACTAAAAATGCAAAAATTAGCCAGGTGTGGTGGTGCACGCTTGTAATCCCAGCTACTCAGGAGACTGAGGCAGGAGAATTGCCTGAATCCAGGAGGCAGAGGTGGCAGTGAACCAAGATCATGCCATTTTACTCCGGCCTGGGCAGCAAGAGTGAAACTCCATCTTGAAAAAAAAAAAATCAGAACCTCATCACAACAGCCACCATGCAATGGCCCAGCAGCTTTCTGTTCATGCAGCGGAGAGATTTCCATCCCCGCAGAATGCTCTTTCACATCTGCTGTGAGCCTGGCTGAGGGGCCGATTGTTGGACTCCCCTAAGTCAAAGCGTACACATCAAAGTGGGAATCTCAGGGCTATGAGATTGGAGGTGAGACCTATAATGGGCCAGTCGAAGGAAAAAGTTGAAACGTGGTTCCTTCAGTTCCTGTTTCTCACTTGAAGGCTGACAAGTGTGAGCAATGCCTTTCTAGAGACCTCTGATGCCACAGAGCCCAGGGAGAGTCTGACAACACTGAGGGAAGGGCAGAGTGATCTCGTGTAACCCAGTGTGGCCTCACCTGGAGTAGAAGGGTCAGCGAGTTGCTCTCTGGAATAACTTCTTGTGGAGTTTTTGTCTCTAAAGATTGGCCAATCGACACCGTCCATGAGGGCAGCTGCAATGAGGCAGACCTGCGGGTGGAGAATGATACTCTAGGAGGATCTCTGGGAGCAGTTGGGTGACACTTGTTATTTTGGAACCTAGGAAAAGGGTGAGGAAGTCAGAATCAAAGGAAATATGTGTAGAAGTCTGATTTGTTCCTTTTGTATTTTAATAAGATAGAGGTGAGACAATTTGTGTCCGTGGGCTTTGTGTGCTGTGTTTGTAACCTTTTTTTTTTTTTTCTTGCTCTGGTGTTTAATGGTTACTTTCCAGAAGACCGGTTTGTCTTGTCTATGTCACAGCAAACATCGAAGCCTTGATTTTTGATTGGTTAATATCTTCTGGGACTTGGGAATGCAAGTCTTATTAGGTCCAGGCACTGACTAAGATGTGAGGTATCTGGTGAGACTCCCTCATGCTCACTACTTGACCATAGTTGTTTCTCTGAGATAGTCTCAGAATCTTCAGTCCCACACTCCATATGCCGCATCCAGCAAAGCTCTCTGAGGGACTCACAGTCTCCAACCACCAGGGCACTGACATTAACTCTGTGTCCTTTTAGGTTCCCCTGAGGACAGCCTGAGTTTAAAATCTCTATCACCAAGTGAGGAAGACAATGATTATGCCCAGGTAAGACCTTCTTTCCTTGTCTTCTAAGGAAATGTTGGTTTCCTGATGTGAGAAACAAACTCACCCATTCACACCCAAAGAATGAACTCAGAGGCCTGCAGAACAGAGAAAGTGAGAATTTTGATGGCCTTGCAAGATTGGGTGTCAGATGGGCAGACACACCCAGAACAATTTCAACAAGCAATTTATCCCCTAGTGTGCAGGACTGTCTCCTTGTTCCTCATAGGCTGAGTACTATGGGGTCATAATCTTCCCAGATGTCGCATATTGATTGTTGGTTAGGAGCTTTAGGTATTTTTTATTTAGGGTTGTCTTACTGCATTTTGTTGCAGCGCACAATGCATTGCCATCCTAGTCAGCTCAGGGGTTCTTCAAGTGTTTGACTTATGACCTAAGTAGCTGGGCAGACTGATAAGAACAGACAAAGCGAGCTATTTTGCAGGCTAGTAAAATTTCAACTTTGACTAAACTTTGTTCAAGTGATGGGAACTAAGTGGGGAGGAGGGGGGCCCAACAAGCAGGCCTTGCCCATCCAAGCCGGAGCCTGGCATATCCTATTTCTTCTGTGCTTTGCTGACCTAAACAGGTTCAAGGCACTTTGTTTTAAATATGGACCACTGTATACTTTATTTCCTTCACCTGATTTCTTTCATTCTCAATTAACTTTGACATAAGCATATGATGAGGAACATAAAGTACAACATACACAATAGTCCTTGTTGGGACGGAGTTCAGTGGGAGTGTCTTCTCATGTAATACATGACACACTAGGGTGTTTTTGAAGGGCAACATCCATCATCAACTGTAATGCAGAAGCATTTTCCTCCACGGTAGTTTTTCTCTTTGGATTAGGCCTTGTACATTTACCAATCTAAATCAATCAAACATAAATTCTGTGGGAAAAGCTCTTGTTTTTTCCACAGGTGTCCTCTATGCTAGAATGTTTGGTCTTTGACCTTTGACTCAACCACTGTTTCACAGCTAGTTTTCTGAAGTCATCAACAGACTAACAGATCTGTGTAAGGGGTACAGCAGAATTGATCTGATCCTCATAGCATCTTCTTTTGTCTTGTTGCAGATTTTACCATCACATGTCCAGGGTACGTACCTTCAACTAACTCACTTTCTGAGAAACAAACTTCCTGGCTTTAATATATAGAAACCTGAGTCTGGGTTTCTATATTTGCTCTCACCAGACCTTAATATTGGGGGTTTGGTGAGAGCAAATGATTTTGCAATGTATAACTATCACCAGAGGGGCTGTAGAAATGTGTGTGAACCCAAGGACCAACCAGGAGATTTTCTGTGAGCCAGTGTGTCTTCACCTGGAGTAGGAGAAGTGAGTGCAGCTCTCACTGACTTATCCTGATGTTGGTGGGTCTAAAGAGTGGATTCTGGAGAATCTCAGCAGGGAAGAGGATGCCTTTCCAGGTAGGCAACAAGACATCAGGTGGGATCTAATAAAACAGCATTTCCAGGAACTTTAGGTTATACCTGTTGCTTAGGAGGCTGAGGAGGGTATAGAAAGAGAAAATGAAAAAGTAAATATAAGCAGAGTTTTTTCTTTTCAGAGTTTAATGTCATCATGGTGAGGAGTACTATGTTTATGGACTATTGAGTATCCTGTGTTTTTGATCACCTCTTCTCTATTATTTAAAGATGAACTTTCTGAGAACAACTGCTCTTTCTGCCCCAGCCACTGCAAAATGTCAGAACTTTTGGTTTGGGACACAGTTCTGTCACAGGCAGTTACTTAATCCTGGAGACAGTATTCTTTCACGGTCTGCCCAGATGCATAGGAGAAATGAATTCTCACCTTATGAACTGTTGGGTTTCATGGCAGCACATTCATTTGTCTGTCCTTGCTGTTTACCTCTGGTATGTCTTGATAGACATCTCCCTAGGCACAGAGGACAGAATGAAAAATTACTCTGGGCTCATTGCAAAAGCTCCAGTGTCTTGGAAATGAAGGGGAAAGCACAACCTTGAGCACATTGTCAGCATTCCATTTCTTCATTTGAATGAGAATATGCAGTTTTACCATCAGTTGTGGAAGAGGCTTTCCTTTCCCCATTGTGTATTCTTGGCACCTCTGTTGAAGATCAGCTGACTCTGTGTGTGCATTTAATTCTGAGCTCTCTATTCTATATCTGTGATACTTATGGGTGCCCCCATGCTAGAAGCATGTTGTCTGAATTTCTCTGTTTTTTGTAGATTTCAATCTCATGAATGTGCTTCCTCCAACACTATTCTTTTTCAATGTTACCATGGTTATTTGAGGCACATAAAAATTCATTAAAATCTTAGGATTATCTTTTCCATTTCTGCACAGATGGCTGTTACCAGTTTGATAGTAATTGTTGTGAGTCTGTAGATGATTTGTGTAGTATTGTGTGTTAGTCAGGTTTGGTCGTTCTATCCATGAATATGAGATGCCTTTCAACTTATTTGTACCTTCTTTACTTTCTAGAATCTTTATGTTGATAGCTGATAAGTTAGGTTTAACATGACTGACATAAATTTGTGATTTATTTTTCATTATTATTTTTTTGAGACAGAGTCTCACTCTGTCACCACATTGGGGTATAGCAACATGCTGTCCGCTCACTGCAACCTGTGGCCCCAGGTTCAAGTGATTCTCTTGCCTTAGCCTGCTGAGTAGCTGGGACTATAGGCACGAGGCACCATGCCCAGCTAATTTTTAAGTTTTTATTAGAGACACGGTTTTATAACATTGGCCAGGGTTGTCTCGATCTCCTGACCTAGTGATCTGCCCACCTCGGCCTCCCAAAGTGCTGGCAATATAGGCATGAGCCTCCACACCTGGCCAAATTTGTGATTTTTTTATACCAATATTTTGTATGTCTGAATAGGCATCAAATAAAAAAATTTTATGTAAGCTACTTAACAGAAAAATCACACCTGTACTCATGGACATTTTTTTCATGAATGTGTACATTTCTATTGTTATACATTTTCCTCATTTCAGTAGATAATGTATATTTGAACCGGGAAGCTTATCCTTGTGGCAGAAAGTGTTCAGAGTCATGTCTCTCAGCTTCACTGGTATACTTACAGCAGGGTCTGTGAGTTTATCCTGTTTGAATGAAGCCTGATCCCTAAGGAATCTCCTCAGGGAGAGTGACACAGGACCTGCTGAAGCCCCGATCACAGGGGCCCTTTCGGGTGTGTGCACACACGATGGTTCCAGAAGACTTACAAAGAGGAAATCATGACTGTTTTTAATTGTAACATTTTAATATTTAATTTTAAAAATGTTCTCTATGAAAAAGAATGTGTGGTTAATACAATAGAGTAATTTGGGTGAAATTGAGTCCATTTTACTAATCAAATAGGCTTTTAATCAAGTAATAAATCCTTTAAAACATATGCTAAATGTAGTACCAGCGTAATTGGATCCTACTGTACTGACAGGGTCTTGAATACATTAAGAAAATGCTGTTTGTTTAGAAGAGTTTCAAAACATTTGAGAGGAAGGAAGGCACTCTTCCATTGACCCTCAGTGTGTGCTTTAGTTCCATTTGGGGTTGACTCTTTTGTGTTGCTGCCTGATGCCTCTAGTACAAGGCCAAGGCCTTCATGTCTCATGTCTTTCCTGCTCCCCTCCTCTAACATCCCTCTTCCACTCAGGGGAATAGCCCAGCGTCAACTCAGTCCATGCTTGTTAATCAACCACCTCCATACACCACATCCAGCAAAGCTCCCTGAGTGACTCACAGTCACAAACACCCAGGGCACTGATTTTTCCTCTGTGTCCTTCCAGCTTCTCCAGAGGACAACCTGAGTTTAGTAACTCTACCACGGAGTGAAGATTATGATGGCGGTGACGATGATGATGATTATGATGCCGCCCAGGTAAGACCACCTTTGTCATCTAAGGAAATGTTGGTTTTCTGATTTGAGAAATAAACTCAGCAGTCAAAACCCAAAGAATAGACTCAGGGAGCTGAAAAACAGCAAAAGTGAGATTTTTCCTTTCCTTTTCCTTTCCTTTCCTTCCTTATCCTTTCTTCTCTCTCTCTCTTTCTTGCTTGCTTGCTTTCTCCTTTTCTTTCTTCTCGCTCAGTTAGCCCAGCTGGAGTGCAGTGGTGCGATCTTGGCTCACTGCAACCTCCATCTCCTGGCCTCAATCAATTCTCCTGCCTCAGCTTCCCGAGTAGCTGGGATTACAGGCATGTATCTCCATGCCCAGCTAATTTTTGTATTCTTAGCAGAGACAAAGTTTCACCCTGTTGGCCAGGGTGGTCTCAAACTCCTGACCTCAGGTAATCCATGCACCTCGGCCCCCTGAAGTGCTGGGATTACAGGCGTGAGCCACCCTGCCTGGCCGAAAGTGAGATTTTCAATGACAGTATTGCAAGAGCTGGTGTCTGATGGGCAGACACACCCAGCACAGTTTCAACAAGCAATGCTCTAGTGTGAAGGCCCGTCCCCTGGTTCCTCATAGGCTGAGTACTGTGGGGTCACTGTCTTCCCAGGTGTTGCCTATTGATAGTTGGGGAGGGGCTTTAGGTATTTTTCTAGGGTTGTCTTACTGCATTTTGTTGAAGCCCACAATGCATTGCCAACCTAGTCAGCTCAGGGTCTCTTCAAGTATTTGACTTATGACCTAAGGAGCTGGGCAGGCTGATAAGAACAGACAAAATGAGCTATTTTTCAGCCTAGTACACCTTCATCTTAGACTAAACTTCTTTGGTTGAAGTGAGGGTAACTAACTGGGGAGGAGAGGGGAGCACCAAACAAGCAGGCATTGCCCATCCAAGCAGGAGCCTGGCATATGCTATTTCTTCTGTACTTTGTTGACCTCAACTGGTTCAATGTACTTTGTGTTAAAAATAGATCACTGTATACATATTTCTTTCACCTGATTTCTTTCCTTCTCAATTAATTTTGACATAAAAATGTGACAAGGCACATTATGTACAACATATACGATTCTCTTTGTGAGGGTGGAGTTCAGTCTGAGTTTCTTTTCATCTAATACATGACACACTAGGATGGTTTTGAAGGACAGCATCCATCATCAGCTGTAATGCAGAGGCATTTTCCTCCACACCAGTTTTTCTCCTTGGATTAGACCTTGTGCATTTACCAATCTAAATCAACCTCAAACATAAATTCTGGTGGGAACAACTCTTGTCTTTTCCACATGTATCCTCTCAGCTAGAATGTTTTGTCTTTGACTTTGACTCAACAACTGTTTCACAACTAGTTTTCTGAAGTCATCAAGAGACTAACAGATCTGTGTAAAGGGGTGCAGCAGAATTGATCTGATCCTCATAGCATCTTCTTTTGTCTCGTTGCAGATTTTACCATCACGTGTCCAGGGTACGTACCTTCAACTAACTCACTTTCTGAGAAACAAATTTGATGGCTTTAGTATATAGAAACCTTAATCTGGGTTCCTGTTTAAAAAATTGGGGGTCTGGTGACAGCAAATGATTTTGTAAGTGTATAGTTATGAGCAGAGGGCTGTGGAAATGTGTGTGAACCCAGAGGACCAACCAGGAGATTTTGTGTGAACCAGTGATTCTTCACCTGGAGTCAGAGAAGTGAGTGCAGCTCTCTCACTGACTTATCCTGATGTTGGTGGGTCTAAAGAGTGGATTCTGGGCCTGGCGCAGTGGCTCACGCCTGTAATCCCAGCACCTTGAGAGGCCGAGGTAGGCGGATCGTGAGGTCAGGAGATCGAGACCATCCTGGCTAACACGGTGAAATCCCATCTCTACTAAATATACAAAATTTAGCCAGGCGTGGTGGCAAGTGCCTGTAGTCCCAGCCACTTGGGAGGCCAAGGCAGGAGAATGCCGTGAACACGGGAGGCAGAGCTTGCAGTGAGCTGAGATCGCGCCACTGCACTCCAGCTTGGGTGACAGAGTGAGACTTCATCTCAAAAAAAAAAAAAAAAAAAGAGTGGATTCTGGAGAATCTCAGCAGGGAAGAGGATGCCTTTCCATGTAGGCAACAAGATTTCAGATGGGATCTAATAAAACAGCGTTTCCAACAACCTTTAGGTTATACCTGCTGCTTAGGAGGCTTAGGGAGGGTTTAGAAAGAGAAAAAGAAAAAGTAAATATAAGCTGAGTTTGTTATTTTCAGAGTTTAATGTCATCATGGTGAGAAGTACTGTGTTTATGGGTTTTTGAGTATCCTGTGTTTTCAATCACCTCTTTTTTATTATTTAAAGATGATCTTCCTGAGAACACCTGCTCTTTTCTGCCTCTGCCACTGCAAAATGTCAGAACCTTTGGTTTGGGATGCAGTTCTGTCACAGGCAGTTGGTTAATCCTGGAGACAGAATTCTTCTGCGGTGTGCCCAGATGCATAAGAGAAATGGATCCTCACCTTATGAACTGTTAGGTTTCATGGCAACACGTTCATTTGTCTGTCTTTGCTGTTTACCTCTGGTATCAAGACATCTCCCTGGGCAGGGAGGACAGAATGAAAAGTCACTCTGGGCTCACTGCAAAAGCTCCAGTGTCTTGGAAATGGAGGGAGAAGCATAACCTTGAGCACACTGTCAGCATTCCATTTCTTCATTTGAATAAGAATATGCAGTTCTTACCATCATTTGTAGAAGAGGCTTTCCTTTCCCCGTTGTGTATTCTTGGCATCTTTGTTGAAGATCAGCTGACTCTGTATGTGTGCATTTAATTCTGGGCTCTCGATTCTATATCTATGATACTTATGGGTGCCCCCATGCTAGAAGCATGCTGTCTGAATTTCTCTGTTTTTTCCTTTTCTGTAGATTTCAATCTCATGAATGTGTGTCCTCTAAGAGTATTCTTTTTCAGCGTTACCATGGTTATTTGAGACACATAAAAATTCATTAAAGTCTTAGGATTATCTTTTCCATTTCTGCACAGATGGCTGTTACAAGTTTGATAGCAGTTGTTGTTAGTCTGTAGATGATTTGTGTAGTATTGTGGTTAGTCATGTTTAGTCTTCCTATCCATGAATATGGGATGCCTTTCAACTTCTTTGTATCTTCTTTACTTTCTAGAATCTTTATGTTGACAGCTAATAAGTTGGATTTAGCATGACTAATATAAGTTTGTGATTTTTTTTTTTCTTTTTGAGATGGAATCTCACTCTGTCACCATACTGCGGGTGCAGTGATGTGCTGCCTGCTCACAGCCACCTCCCTCTCCCAGGTTCAAGTGATTGTCCTACCTTACCCTCCAAGTAGCTGAGACTAAAGGCATGTGGCACCGTGCCCAGCTAATTTTTTTTTTTTTTTTTTTTTTTTTTAGCAGAGGTGTTGTTTTACCATATTGGCCAGGATGGTCTCGATCTCTTGACCTCATGATCTTCCCACCTTGGCCTCCCAAGGTGCTGCAATAACAGGCATGAGCCAACGCACCTGGCCAAATTTGTGATTTGTTATACCAATATTTTGTATGTCTGAATGACTAGGCATCAAATAAAAAAAAATTTATATAAGCTAGTTAACCAAAAATCACCCGGTACTCATGGACATTTTTTCATGAATGTGTTCATTTCTGTTGGTATACATTTCCTCATTTCAGTAATTAATGTATTTTTGAACCTGGAAACTTATCCTCATGGAAGAAAGTGTTCAGTCACATCTCTCAGCTTCACTAGTGCAGGTAGAGCAGGGTCTGTGAACTTGGCCTGTTTGAATAAAGCCTGATCTTTAGGGACTCTCCTCAGGGAGAGTGACACAGAGCTGCTGAAGCCCCTGATCACAGGGGCCCAATAGGTTTTGTTCACACACCCTGGTTCCAGAAGACTTACAAAGAGGAAATCATGACTATTTTTAATTGTAGCATTTTAATATTTATTTTAAAAAATGATCTTTATGAAAAAGAATGTGTGATTAATAGAATAATTTGGGTAAAATTGAATCCATTTTATCAATAAAATAGGCTTTTAATTATGTAATAAATCCTTTAAAACAGATGCTAAATATAATACCATCATAAGTGGATCCTACTGTACTGGCATGGTCTTGAATATGTTAAGAAAATACTGTTTGTTTAGAAGAGTTTTAAAACATTTGAGAGGGAAGAAGGCACTCTTCCATTGACCATTAGTGTGCATTTTAGTTGCATTTTGGCTTGACTCTTTGTATTTCTGCATGATGCCTCTAGTACAAGGCCAAGGCCTCCATGTCTCGTGTCTTTTCTGCTCCCCTCCTCTGCCATCCCTCTTCTACTCAGCAGAATAGCCCAGCATCAACTCAGGCCATGCTTGTTAATCAACCACCTGCATACACCACATCCAGCAAAGCTCCCTGAGTGACTCACAGTCACGAACACCCAGGGCACTGATCTTTCCTCTGTGTCCTTCTAGCTTCTCCTGAGGACAACTCACCACGAAGTGAAGATGGTGATTGTGATGATGATGATGATGAGGATGATGATGATACCCAGGTAAGATCACCTTTCTTTGTCTTTTAAGGAAATGTTGGTTTTCTGATGTGAGAAACAAACTCACCAGTCCAAACCCAAAGAATAGACTCAGGGAGCTGAAAAACAGCAAAAGTGAAATTTTCTTTCTTTTCTTTTCTTTTCTTTTTTCTTTCTTTCTTTCTTTCTTTCTCTCTTTCTCTCTCTCATCTCTCTCTCTCTCTTTTTTTTTCTTTTTCTTTTTTTAAGATAGAATCTTGCTCAGTTAGCCAGGCTGGAGTGCAGTGGTGCAATGTCGGCTGAGTGCAAACTTCTGGCCTCAGTAAATTCTTCTGCCTCAACCTTCTGAGTAGCTGGGATTAGAGACATGTGTCCCCATGCCAGTTAATTTTTGCATTCTTAGTAGAGACGGTGTTTCACCATGTTAGCCAGGCTGGTCTGAAACTCCTAGCCTTAGGTAATCAGCCCACCTTAGCCTCCAGAAGTGCTGGAATTACAGTCATGAGCCTTCATGGCTGGCCGAAAGTGAGACCTTTAGTGACAGTGTTGCCAGATCTGGTGTCTGATGGGCAGACCCACCCAGCACAGTTTCACTAAGCAATTTATCCCCTAGTGTGCAGGTCCCTCCCCTGGTTCCTCATAGACTGAGTACTATGGAGTCACAATCTTCCCGGGTGTTGCCTATTGATTGTTGTGGAGGGGCTTGAGACATTTTTCTAGGGTTGTCTTACTGCATTTTTTTGCAGCCCACAATGCATTACCATCCTAGTCAGCTCAGGATTCTTCAAGTATTTGACTTACGTACGACCTAAGTAGCTGGGCAGGCTGATAAGAACAGACAAAGTGAGCAATTTGTAGGCTAGTGAACTTTTATCTTAGACTAATCTTCTTTGGTTGAAGCGAGGGCAACTAAGTAGGGAGGAGGTGGGCCCTGAACAGGCAGGCATTGCCTCTCCAAACAGGAGCCTAGTATATCCTATTTCTTCTGTACTTTGCTGAACTAAACAGGTTCAAGGTATTTTGTCTTAAAAATGGACCACTGTGGCCAGGCACGGTGGCTCACGCCTGTAATCCCAGCACTTTGGGAGGCCGAGGCGGGCAGATCATGAGGTCAGGAGATGGAGACCATCCTGGCTAACATGGTGAAACCCCGTCTCTACTAAAACTACAAAAATTAGCCGGGCGAGGTGGCGGGCGCCTGTAGTCCCAGCTACTCGGTAGGCTGAGGCAGGAGAATGGCAAGAACCCAGGAGGCGGAGCTTGCAGTGAGCCGAGATCATGCCACTGCACTGCAGCCTGGGTGACAGGGCAAGACTCTGTCTCAAAAAAAAAAAAAAAAAAGGACCACTGTATACATTATTTCCTTCACGATTTCCTTCAATTAATTTTGATATAAAAATATGACAAGGCACATTATGTACAACATACACAATTCTCTTTGTGAGAGTGGAGGTCAATGGGAGTTTCTTTTCATCTAATACATGACACACTAGGTTGTTTTTGAAGGACAGCATCCATCATCAACTGTAATGCAGAGGCATTTTCCTCCACACCAGTTTTTCTCCTTGGATTAGGCCTTGTGCATTTACCAATCTAAATCAATCAAACATAAATTCTGTGGGAAAAGCTCTTATCTTTTCCACAGGTGTCCTCTCTGCTAGAATGTTTGGTCTTTGACCCTTGATTCAACCACTGTTTCACAACTAGTTTTCTGAAGTCAACAAGAGACTAACAGGTCTGTGTAAGGGGTGCAGCAGAATTGATCTGATCCTCATAGCATCTTCTTTTTTCTCATTGCAGATTTTACCATCACGTGTACAGGGTACGTAACTTGAACTCACTTTCTGAGAAACAAGTTTGCTGGCTTTAATATATACAAACCTTAATCTGGGTTCCTGTTAAAAAATATCGGGGGTCTGGTGAGAGCAAATGATTTTGCAAGTGTATAGCTATGAGCAGAGGGGCTGTAGAAATGTGTGTGAACCCAGTGCATCAACCAGGAGATTTTGCGTGAGCCAGTGTGTCTTCACCTGGAGTAGGAGAAGTGAGGGACCTCTAACTGACTTATCCTGATGTTGGTGGTTCTAAAGAGTGGATTCTGGAGAATCTCAGCAGGGAAGAGGATGCCTTTCCAGGTAGGTAACAAGACTTTCAGGTGGGATCTAATAAAACAGCGTTTCCAGGAGCCTTCATGTTATACCTGCTGCTTGGGAGACTGAGGGTTTAGAAAAAGTAAATATACGCCGAGTTTGTTCTTTTCAGAGTTTAACGTCATCATGGTGAGAAGTACTATGTTTATGAGCTTTTGAGTATCCTGTGTTTTCAATCACCTCTTCTTGCTTTATTATTTAAAGATGATTTTTCTGAGAACACCTGCTCTTTTCTGCCTCTGCCACTGCAAAATGTCAGAGCCTTTGGTTTGGGATGCAGTTCTGTCACAGGCAGTTACTTAATCCTGGAGACAGAATTCTTCTGTGGTGTGCCCAGATGCATAGGAGAAATGGATCCTCACCATATGAACTGTTAGGTTTCATGGCAGCACATTCATTTGTCCGCATGTTCCACGGCAGTACTACTCACAATGGTAAAGACATGGAGATGTTACTCGGTGTCCATCAGCAGTGGATCAGAGAAAGGAAATGTGGTACATACACACCCTGAGGAACACTACACAGCCATAAAAAACAAATCCATGCCCTTACCAGAAACCTGGATAGCAGGCAGTATGCCATTATGCCAAAGGCAAGAACAGAAAACCACAATTTTCAAAACAGCTACAAAGTTCAGTTGTGAATATTCTCTCCACAGAGAAATCATAAGTCTGGAGCTCACAGAGGTGCCAGACACTGCAACTTCATTATGATGCTATGTTTACACAGACCAAATTGTCCCATCCACCCATGGTTATGCACACATACTCTACAGCAATGAAACTGTTGTCCCATTTTGGTAACATTCATTCTCACCAGAGAGAGATGCTTTCTGAGTGTGGTTTTGGTGTGAGGCTTCTCCATGAGGATCAGTAATGTTGAGTCAAAATCTTTTACCTGTGCATCCATCTCAGGTCTTCAGGTCCTTTGCCCAGTCTTACATCATCAGGAGTTGACAAGTTCACAATAACTTGGCAAACATCACTAACCACAGCAAAATGTAAATCAAAACCACATTTAAGAGATACCATCTCATTCTAATTGGAATGAGTATTAAAATAAAGAGAAAAAAAAATCAAAAAGAAAGGAAATGTTGGTGTATTTCCAGAGACAGAGAGACACTCTTCTCCACAGTTCGTGAGAAGAGGTAAACTACTTGCATGCAGAAACCACTTGGAGATTCCTCCAAACCTTAAAAGACTCAGCTACCATTTCAACCATCAATTCTACTACTAGGAATACCTCCAAAGCCATTGAAATCAGGACACAAAGATAGATCTACCCACCCATGTGGATTCAGCACTGTTCCCAAGAGCCAGTGTAAGCATCAACCTACCTGGTTATCCACAGACAAAGGGAGAAAGAAGCTGCTCCACATGTACACACCGGGATACTCTTCACACAGAAAACCACAATGAGGAAATCTGTTGTGAGAAATTCTCCCCAGTTGCACCTGGAGAGATGATGAAGTAGAATTAAATGAGCGATGAGGAGAGAAACAAACTTTAAGTCATCTCACACATGCAGAATCTGAGAAACTATCTCAAAGACCTGACGAGCACAATATTAGTTTGCAGAGATAGGGGAAAAGTGGGAGTAATGGGCAGAGATTTGTAACTGGGAAAATGAGAGGAAGAAAAAGTCTGTTTTCTGTGCCAGTGCAAGGAGTGACCAGGGTTAACTGTATCGGCACATCACTTTGAAAGCAGCTTGACAGGAGAATACTGAAGGTTCTCACCGTAAAAGAATAAACAATGGGAAAAGGTAACGAAACGCTAGGACCGCCCGATTTCATCATTCCACAATGTATGTGACGTAATGCCCCACTCTACCTCTCATTGTATTGTTCCTTTACTATGCAACACATTTTGTTGAAAGAAATAGAAACAGGTGATGCTAATATTCATGTGGGAACATGAGCGCCTGAGGATTTCATCCTCTGAAAATCTGGGACATCCAGACTACATCGGACACATCACACTTCTGATTTCAAATTTCACGGAAAAGCTAGGGACCTGCTTCCACACAGAGCAGTGGAACACAACGGAGGACCAAGAAGTAAAACCACACGCTGAAAGCTATCTGAGTCTAACATAGGATCCACCAAGTAAGCAAAGGCAAAGGACACCCTATTCAATCAACAGTGCTGAAATAAGTGGCTAGCCATGTGCAGAAGAATAACACTATGCTCCTACCTCTCACCAGACACAAACAGGAACTCAAGATGAATGGAAGATTTAAATGGAAAAACTCAAACTATTAAAATCTATTGAGAAAACTGTGAAATATCCTTCTCCATAGGCTTTTGCTTAAAAAGAATTTAGATGGCTCAAGTCTATGAAGAATACTTGACAACAAAAACAGAAATTGGCAAGTCAGACCGAATACCTGAATGAGCTGCTGCGGCAAAAATTACCAACAGAATACAGTGTACAGAATGGGAACAAGATTCAAAACTGTGCATCTGAACAACGTCTAATATTCCAAATCTACAAGGCCCTTCAACAAGTCCAAGAGAATATCCCATTAATAAACGGGCAAGAAAACGTGAACACACACTTTGCAAAACTCAATGTACAAGCAACCAACAAATAGGAAAACACGCTCAAACTCACTACCAGAGAGCTGCCAATCAAAAGCATGACAAGATGCCATCCTGCGGAGGTCAATGCTGAGGACTACACAGACAAAGGAACATATGCTGGCGAAGGCAGCCAGAAATGCGGCATGGTACGCTTTTTGGGGGAGGAGGGGATGAAAACTAGTACAGACACCGTTGAAAGCAGATGGGGACTTCTCCAAAGAGCTACATTGAAAACAGACCTACCATCTCACCAGAAAGCCGTCTCGTGTGCATCTACCCAAGAGAAAATCCGTCCTTCTATCCAGAAGACACAGACACTCATATGTTCATGGCAGTATTATTCACAATGTCAAAGACATGGAATCTACCTAGCCATCAACAGTGCATGAGAGACAGCCTGGTAACTCCACACCTGTAATTCTAGCACTTTGGGAAGCCGAGGGAGGTGGATACAGCTTCAGTTGAGAATTTGAGACCAGCCTGGGCAAAATAGTAAATCTATCCTACAATAGCAAAAAAAGTTAGCAGGATGTGGTGGCGGGCACCTGTAGTCCTATCTAATCTGGAGGCTCGGATGGGAGAATCACCTGAGAACAAGAGGTGGAAACTGCAGGCCACTGTCATAAAGTGAACTAAGACCCAAACAGAAAAGCAGCTGTCTTCTGCTTATAAATGGGGTTAAACTGTGAATGGACTCAAACATAAAGGAGAGAACAACAGACACCTGGAGCTGACCACCAGACCAATCAAAAAACAGAGGCATGTGCTGAAGACCCACCCTGTGGGCCGTCTGCTCACTGCCTGGGTTACGTGGTTCTTGGGACCTCAAGTTTCAATGTCATGCAATCAACAGATGTAACTAACTTGTATATATGCCTTTTAAACTACAATAAAGGCCAAAAGCATTAAAAAGAAAAATCCGGCCGGGCGCATTGAAATAAATAGTGCAGCCTTTGGGAGGCCAAGGCGGGTGGATCACGAGGTCAGGAGATCGAGACCATCCTGGCTAACACGGTGAAACCCTGTCTCTACTAAAAATACAAAAAACTAGCCAGGCGAGGGTGGCGGGCGCTGCCAGTCTCCCAGCTACTCGGGAGGCTGAGGCAGAATCGTAAACCCAGGAGGTGGAGTTGCAGTGAGCTGGGAATCCAGCCACTGCAGTCAGCCAGGCATGAAACAAGACTCCGCCTCCAAAAAAAAAAAAAAAAAAACGAAAAAGAAAAATCTAAAAGGTTAGAACCAAAGAAAACCGCATGAAAAAAACAATCTGTAGTTATCCAAAAAATCCATGACTGTCACAAACACAAAACGAGAACCTAAGTGACAGAATGAGAATAGACAAATACTCTATCAACAGTATGTAGAACACATTTTCCAAAACCCAAAGATATAATGTGAAAGGGAGAGTCTGGTTCAATTATTGATTTGAAAAACTGAATATCACAGAAAAACACTGAAATACGACCCATACAATGCACGATACACAAAATCAACACAAAATGAATTAAAGACCCTAAGCACCAGTCTTGAAACTGTAAAGGTCCTATAAGAAAACAGAGTGGGTGTATATTTTAGGAAACCCTGTATCTATGCAAACAGGCTGCAAAAAGGTAAAAAAAAGCATCATAACACTAAAAAAAAAAAAAACAAAAACAAAGTAGAAACTACACCCATAGACAATGCAGGCTTGCTCCGTGTGTCTATGCTAAGTAGAGCGGTGTTGAACACAAAAATCACCTAACATATGTAACTATAACCATATGAGACTAGGGACACTTTACAAATTCTACAGGGAAAAGGAAACAGTGAAACTAAAAAAGGAACCCCTAAGACTGGGAAGCGATAAAAAATCCTAGCCTGAAGAGGTTGTTATCTAACACGTACAATAAACAGTGTGACTAAGTGAAAAACAACAACAACAACAAATATCAAGATAAAAGGATCTAAATAGACCTGGTGAAAAAGAGGCAGGAAATTGACTCTGGTGGCAATTCCTCAATATCACTAATCCTCCACAAAAACGTGAATCAAAACCATACTCAGTTACCATCTAATTCCACCTAGAATGAGTATTACAAAGAAACAAAACTCAAAGACTTGCAGGAGAAAAAAATCTTCTACACTCTTTATGCAATGAAAATCACCTTCATACAAAAACTTTTGGAAGTTCCTTAAAAAAGCAAAGGTAGGCCGGGCACAGTGGCTCACCTGTCATCTCAGCACTTTGGGAGGCGAGAAGGTGGATGCCTGAGGTCAGGAGTTCGAGACCAGCCTCACCAATATAGTGAAATCTCTCATCTGTACTTTAAAAATACAAAAATTGGCTGGCGTGGTGGTGGCGTGCCTGTATTCCCAGCCACTCGGGAGGCTGAAGTGGGAGAATCACTTGAATGCAGGAAGCGGAGCTTGCATTGAGCTGAAATCGCGCCACAGGACTCCAGCTTAGGTGACAAGAGCAAGACTCCATCTTTTTTTTTTAAAAAAAAAAAAAAAAAAGAAGAGTAAAATGCAACTGCCACTCCAGCTAACAATCCACCACTGGGTACACATTTGAGAGAAAAATGAAATCCTGTGATACTCTGCCTTTTCATGTCCTGAAGCCTAGTCACAATAGCCAAATAGAATCAACTTACCTGTCTATCACAGATGAAGGGATAAAGGAACCACAGTACATGTACACAAGAAAACACACATCAGCTGTAACACTTCAGGAAATCATGTCATCTGCAACCACTTGGAGAAGCAGAACAATTAGGTGAAATGAAACGAGTCTGCCAGGGAAGAGACCCACACTGCATGACCATCTGAGCATATC